AAGATTTTTATTTATTTATTTGAGAGAGAGAATGAGAGAGAGCACATGAGAGGGGGGAGGGTCAGAGGGAGAAGCAGACTCCCCACCAAGCCGGGAGCCTGATGCGGGACTCGATCCCGGGACTCCAGGATCATGACCTGAGCCGAAGGCAGTCGCTTAACCAACTGAACCACCCAGGCGCCCTCTTAGCATGCTTTTTTAAAAATCTAGAAACATGTGTGGTTCATTTTGATTTTGTTTTGTCTTATGAGCTTTCTTTGGTTACTGATTTGTAACTCCATTGTGTTTTAAGAGAATGGGAAGAGCTGAGTTTTGAGAACCCTGGTTTCAGAAGTTGGGGCTGCATGCCTGAACTAAGGCCAGGCACGGGAGGAGGGGGCGCCCCTGAAGAGGGGGCAAGCTGAACCCCTGGTGGGAAGGGAGCCTTGGCCTGGTGAGGAGCCTGTGGGGTGGTAGGGGCATGTGTGCCGAGCCTCCTCCCTACCCCACCGATTCCAGCTGGCTTCGTTTCCCTGGGGGTGCCCTTGGGGGAGCGAGGACCGCAGTTCAGCCCCTGCCAGTGACCCGGCCCCTGTGGGCAGGTGTCCTCCCCGGTTTGTGGCACAGGATGCCTTCTCATGGTCTGCCTTCTGTTATTGCTGGCTGTCATCCGTGCAGGAGAGGCGGATGAACAAGCTGCTCACCTCCTCTTCATCAGAAGCCTGTATTGGTGCGAAGGAGATGAGAAAAAGTAAAAGCGAGCAAGTCATGCACGCTTTGCGCTGTCTGAGAGCTCCTGGGGGCTCTGCCTGGTGGGGGGGGTAAGCTGGCCGCCGGGTGGCCACGTGGTCGTGTGGGCGCACTCACGTCTCCCTGTGTTCTCTCTTGCAGTCTGAACCTGACGGCTTCTCTCATTTCCACCTGTACGTCTGCGCTGCTTTTCTGGTGAGATGGAGGAAGGAAATTCTAGAAGAGCGGGATTTCCAGGTAAGTAAATGCCTTCTCAAAAGGCCCTGCACTTGATTTTCTCCTGGGGGAGGTTCATGACACTGTCGTTCCCGGGGCTGTCTGTGCTGGAGCTGCGAGCCTGACCTCTTGCTGTTGGTGAACTCGGCCGACCCAGGAAAGTGGGCTGGCCGCGCTCCCCTGGAGCCAGAAATTCAGCCTTTTCCCAGACTTCTGGGGTGCTTCCTGAGCCTGTGTGTGTCCTCCACAGCGTGGCCCCAAGGGGTGGCTCAGGGCTGCGATGCGTTAGGGGAGGTGCTGGTCCGTGAGCAGACGGCCTGGGCGGCTGGCTGCTTCGCAGCTGTGTGACTCGGACATGTTGCTTGGCCTCTCTGGGCAGTTTCCACAGCGACTTGGTGGAGAGCCACACTGGCTCCCACTCAGCTCTGTGCTCGACTAGGGGCTCCGTGGGTGCTGAGTCCCCAGCCCGTCCCCACCCCCAAGTGTTCCTCCATGTGGTGGCCTGAGTACCATGGGGGTATTGACCCCTTCACAGGGTGCTATCCACTGGGACCCCAGGTGCCCGAGTCCTTCTGCCTGGTGACCTGGGAAGGTGGGGCCCCTCAGGTACACATAAGAGGACACCATCGGTGGGGACCAGGGACCGGGCTCTGCCCCACCTGGCTGGGGACAGTCTGGCCACTTCACCTCCTCGAGCCCCTTGGCTTTTAGGTCAGGGACAAACTAGTAGGCCCTATGTCCGGGGTCACGGTGTGGTGGCTCTGGGCAGTCTGCTTGGCCTTGTGGCACTCTGGCTCCTTGTGGGAGGTTTGGGAGAAGAGTGATGGCTGAGCCGGACCCTGGCCCGTGGAGAGCCTGGGTGTTTCTCTGAGGGAGATGGGCACAGCTTCCCCGGGGCACAGTGGCCAGCCGTGGTGTGACCCTGGTCAGCACACACCCCTGGGCTTGGGCTGACTCCCCGAGCGCCTCCTGGAGAACAGATGATACCGGGGGACCGCGGCTCTCCAGGCTGACCACGTGTGGGATTCTCATTGCCTCCCTCCTGGGAGCTCTGCCTGCTGGGGGGAGGTGAGACAGAACTCGGGGTGATAGGAGTTCATGACCGTGGGGTGCTGTGCTAAGGTGGGAGGCTTGTCATCGCCTCAGAAATCACTCTTGAGCCCTGACCCTGGGCAGCCCTGAGCCATGTGTGCCTGGGAAATGTCCCTCGCCCACTGGCCCTTGAGTTCTGGTTGGGGAGAGAGACTCATAACAGATGAGTGACCTTACACAAGGGGCTTTGCCACTCTGCCCCCCATTTCCTCCCCTGCTCCCCAAATAGGGACAGTGCCACCAGGATCCCCTTCCCACAGGGTGGCTCACATCGTGGGGAGTGTGCTTCTAGCTTGTGTTCATTAGTATGAAGTGCCAGGACGGGGCTGACGTGGGGCTGTGACCCCACTGGGCTGGAGGATGGCAGGTGGGAGCAGCCCTGCACGCGAGGGACCTGAGCGAGGTCCAGGGAAGGTGCCGGCCAGGAGGTCGGTGCTGGGCTGGCTTCGGCCCCTCCTCACCCCGGGCCCGTTGGGGCCTCCCGTCTGACGCTCCTCACACAAGAGCCCCCGTGAGGGGGCGGCTTGGGGCTCTGCCACGTGGCAGATGACCCCGGGTGGCAGTGTTCCTGGGGGCTTGGAAGATGTGTTGCCAAGTCCCACGGTTCATTCGCCCGCCATGTTTTACCACCGTTTCTAGGAGCCCCGCGTGTTGCTGTTTGGCTGCAGACCTTCCCCGGTGCTGCTGAGAGGGTTTGCCCGGGCAGTGGCCGAAAGCGGCTTGCCGGCCTCTCAGAGTCCTGCGCACGAGCTTGAGATTCACGGGGCCAGGAGACCAGCAGAGCCCGTGCAGAGTGTGGGGGGCAGGGGACGACCCAGGGCTTCAGCGTCACAGGGGTTGACCGAGTGCGTGGTACAAACACGGCAGTGAGTTGTGGAGGACTGAACTAAATGGGAGAGGAAATAGGAAAACAGAAATTAAATAAAGAACCTTTGGAGTCCTGGTGAGCGTGGGGGAATCGTGTTTGTAATCATGACATTTTAGGACAATGAGTGCACCCAGGGAGGACAGCCTAAGTGACTGAGACCAAGAACCCAAGTCTCCAGCAAGAGAATGTTCCTGGGAAGAGGCTTTAAAAGCCCCCGTTCTCACTCTGTGCAGACTTGTAATGTGCCCCTTGGGAAATAGTGTTGCTTTAAGTCCTTTCCCGAGGAGAAAGGCTTCCCAGGAGCAAGGAGACTCCCCTGGTGTCCACCAGGCCCCCTGCTGCAGGTACCGGGTAAGAGGTGATGGGCTCTGCCCCCTGGGTTCAGTTCCCCTGAACTTGGGCAGGCAGTGCACCTTGGCTTCGGAGGCTCGCCCAGGCCGGTGGTCTGGTTGTGTGTGGTTCCGTGAACATCCCCGAGGGCCTGCTGGGTTCTCTGGGTGGAGGGAGGCACCTTCTGGAGTGGGCGTTCGCTCCTGCCCTGAGTCTTAGTGCCCAGAAGCTTTGTACTTTAACTTGAGGATTGGCCGTCCCGGCCAGAGCTCGCCCCACCCTTCCTGCAGATGACTCAGTTTCCCAGCCCTCCTACGGCACCAGAGTGCACCCCTTCCACACACTGCCTGCTCCCATCTCCACCGGCCGCTGAGGTCTGAGCCTCTGTGCCGACAGCCTGGGTTCTGCCCTCCCTTTGCCTTGTTCTAACGAGCTTTTATAGGGTCTTTGGGTGGAAGGACCTCCTTTGTGCACAAAGTCTTATGTCCCCTGAGGGTGCATCCAGCAGGCTCTGCCTCTTCCTGGGCCTCTGGGTGGGGGGGGTTGTTTCCCAGCAAGAGAGCTCACGGCAAGAGAGGATGAGGGATTCGCTGTGCTGTGAGCGGCTGAGGCCCTCTCCACCCCCCTTCAGGCACATGTGGCCGAATAAGCCATCCAAGGGCTGCCTCCAGCGTGTCCGGCGGTGTGCGAACCTGGCGTGGCTCCCACTTCCGGGGCTCCAGCCCTGTTCCAGAACTGCAGGCTTGTCTGCGAGGCATTGTGCTCCCTCTGAGCATGCTCCTTCTCTCCGATGGGAGATGTCAGACTTCCGGTGTTGCCTTTGCTGGCATCTCTGGCTGGTTTGTAAGTTCAAGCATTACAAAATAGCTGCAAGTGAGCCACTCTAGAAAATCCTGTCACTTTATCCCCTGAAGTCTATGCTGTTTCATTTGGCATCCCATGGTTGTGGGGGTCTGAGTGCAGCCCTGTGTGGCCCCGTGCTGCCCCCGCCCCGCTGGTCCTCCTTCACAGCCAGCCTTCCCTGCCTCCATGGCCCGGTGTGCCCCCCACCCTGGTGCCCACCCTGGTGCTTGTTGGAGCACCCAGCCGGACTCTTCCTGTCCTGCCGGCCTCCTGGGACTGTGGCCCAGAGGCAGCGTGGACACAGAGGTGCTCTGTGAGACTGGGAAATTCTCCCTACGGAGGAATCGGCATCTTTGTTTTGATTTTGAGGAGAGTGAGTCCCTTAGACACACAGAGAAGGTGGCGGCATGCAGTTTTTCAGACGAAGGAGAGTAAATGATTGTGAACAGAGTGTGGAATTTGCAGTGGAAGCATGGGCCTTCCGTGGGGTCCTTGGGAATGTAGAGGTCAGGAAATACTTCCAGGACGGGAATCCACTGGCTCATCTCTGTTGGTGGATGGAGAGCCTCGTTAGTGGAAACGGGGCCTATGAGCACAGGGCAGGACCCGGTGGGGCGGCCGTCGTCTGCACCCCATTCACGCGCAGAGATGAGCTCCATGTGAGCGGGCGCCTGGCTCTGTGCCCCACGTTGTGGGGAGAGCTCCCACTGATTCGTAGGTGGCATGAGAAGGCCCTCGGGGAGCTGGCCTGCCGTGCTTGGCCCAGGCGCCTGGCCCTTTGGCTCCTGTGGATGGCGGGTGGCCACTCCGTGGGAGCAGGAGGGACCAGGTGCGGGCAGCACCTGTCGGCAGGGCCTGTGTCTGCTCTGATGTTCCTGGTGGGCCAGCGCGGCCCTCAGAGCCCTCCCTCTGGGCCAGGCCCTGTGCCATCTGTCTCCAGACTCTGTCCCCCCCACCCCACGTGTATGGGCCGGCTGGGGTGACAGACGAGTAGAGGGGCTGCTTGCCGCTCAGTGCAGGGCCTGGGATGGGGCCGTGGGGCCAGAGCGGGGGCCTGTAGCAGAGGCATAGAGCAGGGCAGGGCACCCAGGAGAGGGGCCCGTGCTGGACAAGCTGCTCTGCAACTGGCAGTAAGTCAGCGAGGCTGGTGCTGAGCGTGCAGGGGGGCCGGGGTGGGGGCCGGGGCGGGGCGGCAGTCAGGAGACAGCCTGAGAAAGACAGAGCCAGGGAGGCCTCCTGGCCTTCCCTAACTCCTAACACGGTGTCCCAAGGGCCAGGGACTTGGGGAGGAGGACTGGGACGTAGCAGCAGAATGGCTTTGGGGCAGAGAGCCCTGAGGGAGAGGTGGGTGGCGCAGCTCAGAGGACGGCAGCCAGGACCTAGGGGCCTTAGGACATGCAGGGGAAGGGGCGGCCGCGGGCAGGTGGCACAGACAGGAAGGAAACAAGGCTGGCAGGATTCCCATCAGGTCGTGAGGAGGAAAGTTAAACAGAGCAGACAGGATGATGTCATAGGTGGTCCTAGCGGCACCTCTGCACTTAGTCGTGGGCAGAAACTTCTGGGAGCTTGGACACAGTGCTCCTTCACCGAGGTCTTGATTTGTGTGCTCTTCTGTCTGTTAGACTTGAATTTAGAACTTTATAAAACAGACTCAAATGAAGCAAGCATAGGAGGAGACGCGGTGGATGAAGGTGAGGTCATTGTGAATCTAGAAGCAGAAACCACGGCTGGCCTGAGAGCTCTGGGTGGTTTTAGCTGTACGAACCACCACTGCGTCTTCCAAGTTTCTGTGGAACATTTACAAAGTAAATTATCTGACCTAAGCCATAAATGTTGTCAAAGTCTGAAAAGCTGGAATAATACAGCCTATATTCACTGAGCATAATCC